TTTTCTTTTCCACGCGTTCTCTATATTCTTGTCAACTACGTCATATACATTTATTTTGAAATGTAGGATTAGAAAACGAACCGAAAGTATGACGTGGATACAAAAACAGCAAGACAAGTTGTAGACTTTATTCAACATAATAAGTAAAACAAAACGCACGACAATGTACAATAGCGAATGACAAAGCTCTGATGATTTACATCTACCAGTGTGCTGATGTTGACCATGCTACGGTCAATTGCGTTCGTGTTCGATTGAACATGTATAAGACTTGTTGTCTCAATATTGATCGAAATAATTGACTGCTCATGGTGTTCAGATAGAATGTTTTACAGTAATTCATGTAATAGAACCATGTTGCAATGTACGAGAGAACTGCACTGAACGGTGTTGCTGGTGTAGACCTGAAGAGGTTGTTTAGATAGATGACAACATAAGGTAGATTGAGGAAAATAGTAAGAGATACTTGAAATAACAGCATGATAATGAGACTATGGTTGGCTCGGCTGATGACTCGCGCTGGATTTCCATTGGTTGTTCGTGTAGCAGATAGACTGCCCAGATCGACAGTTTGTCGAGCTACGGCAGGAGCTACAACAGCTCTTTTTTGCGATTGGCGAACATGAAGAATGATAAGTGTTCCGAACACAGCCAAAAAGAATGGAACAATCGCCCCGTTCAAAAGTGCGAAAAAGAATCCATCGATGATCACAAAAAATGTGTACACACTTCTATCTGGTGTGCATGAGATCGTTGTTGAATTTGGATTAAATTGTCTTAAATCATACGCAATTACTGTATGCAATGAGAAGATAGCCCAAACGACGAAGATCGCTGGTATAACAATTCGGCAAACTTTAATCGAACTCAATTTTCGCCATGCTGCTCGTCGTGACGATGAACAAAACCGATCGATTGATGCACATGTAATATACAGCGATGAGAGACAAGGAAACGTGAATATTGAAAAGTTTCCAAATTTACACCAAAATAATGTACGCGCGAACTGTCCGTAACTTTGAGGATTGTAAAGTGAGAGAATTTTCGTAAGAATGAAAATATTGCAGATCAGCAGGTCACATAGTGAACCAACCAGAAAGTACCATGAACATGAGTTGGTTCGCAGTTGTTTTTGTAAGAAAGTGAAGATGTTCAAAAATGCACCACAGACACCACTGACGTAAAGAATAACTTCGATGTAACGATCAGCAACATTTAGGATTTGTTTGGTCAGTACGAGATCAGTAACACCAGCAACGGTGTTGGTTGATGAGTTCGAAGGATCCGACATACGTGGAACAGAAGAGGAAGTCAACTGAGCTGTAGCCATTGAAGGTGGCATGTAATTAAAGTAATGCGATGCGCGATATTCGTGTTTCTTTCAAAAATAAACTTTGTTTATCCGATTAGAAACAGTAGTAGATTGCATAATTAATTTTCAAGGAATTTTTGCACTTTATTCTCATTAAAATATTCAGAATAGGTTTTTATTAAGCAGACAAGACTCAGCGTACATTTATACTCAATGTAAAGAGGAAAATAGTTTCTGTCTCGAAAAGGTTAATGATGAGGATGTTAATGATGACTATTGTTATGAAATGTCATTTCATGGCCCGGATCGATTTTGTTTTCAGATTGACCAACACATCGAGCAAGAAGCCGATGCCAAATTGGTTCGAGCAGTAGTTTGCAGATAACGAATATCGTTGCACAAATTTCCAGACATAGGAATGTAAATAAAAGGGTACGAAACATAATTTCTGCTTGTTTCGCAATGGGTGATTGAGTGTTTTTTATATAATATGATGTTTCACTGATATCAATTGTTAATGTTGTCGACGAACGATTAGCCGATGTGACATAATACTGGTTGGTGATGAACATTTCGTCGAGACTGTAGGTGAATGTTGGATACCATAAGCCTTCGAACTCGGAATCTCCATTAGCTAACGGTTCAGTTTGATTGACAGCCTTTGTCAGGGCGACTTTCAGAGTTGCAACTTGAGCAAATGTTTCCTTTGATTGACTGTAAAATGATCGGAGAAAGCCTAGTTGTTTTAATGTACTTGTGCCGTTCTGTTTCGAAGGACCTGAAATTCCCACGCGAAAGCCGCCAATCAATTGAATATCACTCAGCACTACTCGAAGCGTTATTTCATGCAGAGGTAATGACAATGTTGCATAGAGTGTACCATTTTGATTTGAACATGACGATATTGGTAATATTGTTGTTGATAATTCGGTCACTTCGTAAATTAATAACACTTGACAACTAGTTGCTGTGTTGACAAAATCTAGTTGAAGTGTGAAGTTTTGTTCGTTCAATAAGTCGAAGATCACTTGTTCCTCGTCAGAAACAGGAACGGCTAGAGCTTCTAATTTCGAGTCGAATTGAGCATTTCGGAGAGTTTTGTCGCATGAAAATCGTGAACCATTGGTTTTCTCTGCTGGATATTCATTCAAATATGAAACTGAAAATGCATAGGCCATAACTGAGATTAGAACTACTGCAAGGGACGCTAATCCACCAAGCCACAGTTCACCTTCGCCCTAGACGAAAAAGTTTCTTAGTAGAGCACAATATTCTTTTGTATAGTACTTACAACAAGATCTGTCCTTTGAAAAACATTTTTAATCGTCGTTCGATATCGATCACGCTTTGGCCGCGAAACACATAAATTCAAGGATGCCATGAGTATAAGTAAAACACCAATGATACCCAGAAGAACCAAACACCAAAATACGGGTGAAATATGTAAACATTCCCATGTTGATCCGAGAGTAAACATCTGTTGTAAAAGAATATCTTCATACGAAGTCATGTCTGGTGAACGCGGGTAAGCATATGCTTGTGAAATTGAAGTAAGCAATGTTGCATTAATTTCATAAGCAGCACCCAATGGACAAAAGCTACTTGACTGACAAGTCGTACATGATGTACCACTATTAGGGCCTCCTGAATTTTGCGTTCCACTCAGACATAATTGGCAAGGATGAACACCACTGTCTACTTTGAAAGTACCAGCAATGCATGGAGTCGAATGACTGATCACAGGCATCGCTGCTGCAACAGGAGAATTAGTAGTGTCCGTTGATGCATAGAAGCCAGGTTGTTCGTTTAAGATGAGAATAACTCCGCCGGCAGTATCGAGTACAGCCAGAGTTGATGGAGTGGAAATCACTCGGATTAATTTCGAGTTGATCGTTGATGGTATTGGTTGTTGAGCATTCGGGAAACTTGCAGATGGTATTGTTGGGATAGTTGTATCATTAAATGCTGTATAAATGAATATGTTAGTTGAATACCACGTGAGATAACTCAACGAATAGTGTGTCATGAGAATTGCTGCTTGTGTTTGCGATAGCCAAGTAACGCCTTTGCCAAAACCAACTGATTGACCATTGTCAAGTGAACTAGTCAATGTTAATTGGGTGTTATTAATAACAACAAACAGGAAAACTGTATTCAGGAAAGGCATACCAACTAACACTCGAGTTGAATCTTGAGGATTAATTTTCACTGACATAATGTATTGATTGCTCCAAGATTCAACATTAGAATAAGTTAAACGCGACTGCCACGAATTGTTTGTTGCACTGTAAGACCATGTTGATAGAACAGTCAGATTGGAATTCCACAATAGGTAAACCGCTGGTGTCGCACGTACTCGAGATCGAGCTGAGCCGGCAACAAAACCTGCAACGATGGTGAAGGTAGTGCTAGCATCGGCTGCATATGGTCTGAAGGTGGAATTATTGGGCCAAACTTGTGTGCTCGCCTTTGTCATAATAGAACTCATAGGATACGGTTGATACTTAAAAACAAAATCAGTTGCTAACCCGATGGCATATTGTCCATAGGGTTCAACTGCAATAGTGAAGAATTCTTGATGTCCATATGAATTTAAATATTGTAATTGTTCAGTTTCAAAATTATCGCAGGATAATGGCTGATGCGTTGTTGAGTACATTTGAATATTCTGAGGATCTCGATCGATCCATACGCCAATATACGTACCGTTATGACCGGATCTATCCGTAGCTATTGGACCTGATGTTACAACTTCTCCGGCATAGTAAAAATATGGATTTGTTGTTGAATTTTGCTTTTGTCCTACACCGACTGAATAGACATAGTGTGTGGAATCATCGAAATCAAATGAACATTGAAGAGAATCGAATGTGTAATTGTACGGAGCAAATTGAACAAGAAACGTTTGACCGGAATTATCAACTTGCGCGAAGAGAACGTCGTTCGCAGCTATTTTGATACCATACGCATCGTAATCACTCATATCAGGAGAAAATGAATCGCTGGAAACGAATTGTCCTTGATGGGCAATGAGATAAAGTAGAACGAACCACATAATAACTCTTTGATTATAATTTGAAAGAAATGATGATTTATTCTCTTAAAGTATTCTGATTTTATATGCCTTACTCCATTTCAGTTGATGGCAAGTAATTGCAATGTACTATTCTTTTTCGGAAGTGTCTTTGTTGACAAGTTAGTCGATCGGAAATGAACAGGAAATGTGAAACTAACTTTCCGAGCTTTGTTTGATTAGGGAGAGCACTTTTCTTATTGAAATCATTTTAAAATAATACCATTAGATCGATGGAACGATGTTTGTTCATCAGTATTGATTTTGACAGATTCTTATAGCGCAGAAAAAAATAATTAAAAAGTACTTTTGTCAACTTCATCGGTTACTATGTGGAAAAAAAAGTCAATCGCCCACTTATTTCTTGTTGTCAACAAAAGAATGTGCATGTATTTGACTCTACCGTTCTCGTATATAGAACTAAAAGACGTCAAATACAAAATAAATGACTCAGGACGATCAAAGCGTAATGTGTCAAGTTCTTATCTAACAAGAGATTAAGGTATTTGCATGAAGAGAATAGCTGAAAAAGAAGATAAATATTTGAGTTCGAAATATAATATATCTTCGGCAACATACGCATTTTAATGTAAAAAAAAGTATAACTGCGCGCGAATGTATCACCATCATTCATTGACGTTTATTTTATACTCGTGCTGGTTTGCATCATGTGCTACAATATTGGCCACGGAGTTTTCCTGTCAGACATCTAGCACATCCAAAGTGCTTCTGTCGAATGGCCCACCTATTTCATTCAATTCTCCCTATGCTCAAACGCTCTCTGTGAATTTTCTTTTTCAATCGCCATTTCAACTTGCTTCTGCTATACAAGTCAGCGCAATTAATATTTTCCCCCGTCAAAACAATGTTTCCCTTACCATTCGAGCTGCTCTGTACGATGCTGCATCGATGCTTATTGCACAGACACCTATCATCACTACATCCACAGCTGAATTTTCGAACACACAATCTAACCCATGGTCTCTACCACTGGAACGATCCGTCAATCTCGCAGTTGGAATCAATTACCATGTCGCTTATTGGTTTGCTAACTCCAGTAATAATGGTACTGGCGTTGTTGCACTGTATGCAACGAGTCCAGCCAATGCCACCTGGTTGAAACCAACGGCTGACTTCGTTGCAGTGAATGGATCATTTCCTGCTCTTTTATCGGCACCTCACACGTTCGGTTCTGGTCGAGCTGCTCCATTCATTGAGTTGATTGGAAAACCATGTCTGAACAAAATTTCTGCTGCTACCATACATCTCGACAATACGGTTCTTTCCATACTACAAACTATTCGAACAAAATATGGTGGAATACCAGCTCTAGGCGCTTCAATCATACAAATGCCCACATCTGATTCTTTCAAAGGTGTTCAACCGATAAAAGATACTGTTTGTCCTTTCATTCCGGTATCAACAGTAGTATCAGGCGTACGACGTGCTGATGCCAAAATCCCAGAGCCGGTCACAGTGAATGATAAATGGCATCTGGGATCGAATACGAAAGCAATGACAGCAATGCTTGTTCAAATATTAATACAAAAAGGTAGATTAAGTCTTAACACTACCGTAGGAGATATTTTTCCATACTTACCCTTTTCTTCAATGACAACAACGCCATCATCATCCGACTCTTGCGTTTGCGGCAATCTTCAACATACAAATGGCTATTTTAGTAAATCTCCCTATTCATGCAATTTGAAAATTCATACATCATGGAAATACATTACTATCGCGCATTTATTAACTCATACTTCGGGTTTAGATTCTTTGGATGCGTTGTTTACCGAACAATACTTCATCGATTCTGTAGCACTCGATACAAATGGCTTTAACGAATCGTGTACTAACTATCCTATACCTTCACGTCGTTATCATTTGAGTGTCATGTTACCAGTGACGATTCCTAACTCACCGCCATCTATCGATGTTCCAGTGAAGTCTGCATATTCAAACAATAATTTCATCCTACTGGGATTAATCTTAGAAGAATTATTGTCTTTGCCATGGGAGATAATCATTCAACAGCAATTATTCGATCCATTGGGAATGAGCACAGCTGGATTTCTATCACCTATTACTAATGTATCATTGGATGCTTATGCTATCCAACCGTTAGGTCATTACAAAGATCATAATAATATAATTCGAAGCGTCGACAGTGATCTTCCAAAATCGTGGGCGCCGACTGGTTTAGTTCACGCTAGCCTCGGTGACTGGAGCAAATTCATTGCTTGTCAATTGCAAGAAGGGCGTGATCTAGCAGCACTAGGCTTTTCTCCTGCGAATACCAATTTTCTAAACATAACAAATTCACTATACATCTTCTCGCCATCTGTGTGGCAAAGTATCCATGACAGATACACTTTCCCATCAGCAAATTCATCTGTTTCTTCGCACTCATTATCAGAATTGATAAATGAAAATGATCAGATTGGACTCTCTCTTATGCACACGGGTAGCAACACCGTTTGGTATGCTTACATTGCCGCTTATCCTCGACTATCTCAGCCCATGGCAGTTTTAGTGACAGCTAATATCGGTATTGACGATGTGGTTTGGGAAGCCAAAGCTGCTATCATTAATCTGTACCTTGCTTGGCAAGAACAAGGCCAACCAGCTTCGACCATTACATCCACAGCTCCATTGTCAGTCACATTGAACAACTATTTCGTTTTTATCTTCACTTTTTTTACTTTTTTTCATTAATTTAACTCTCGGTTATACATAGCATATTTTACGTATCACGATTTTATTCAAAACTATTCGAAAAAAAATATATAGAACGATTGAAAGTATGTTGACCTTATAGCTTAACACAAACAATCAGTACCTGACGTATTCTCACTCAAGTACTACTTAACGAAAAATAAGACATGCTTGAATAATTTGTCGTATATAATCGAGAAAATTGTGTTGTGTCACGTTTATTTTCTATTTCTTCGTTTTCATCCTACATATCATGGCTAATTCTTCCAATACAAACACAGAGTTGCAAACGGCTGAAGTTGTTTCCACAGAACCAACATCGAACAACGATAAAGTATTGTCCAATACTGAAAACGAAAAGGAACACCCGAAAAAGTCGTCATCGGATAACACCGATACTTGTTTATGCTGTTGTGATTTTTGTGTCTCAGTTATAGACTTAGTCATGATTTGTATTCGTTAACGTGTTGAAAAATAAATCGCACACTTGAATTGAATATTTCTATTTCCACCTGCTCCTACACTCGAACTCGATTTCTATTTGTTCATCGAGACTCCAAATGTCTGAACATCTGCATATTTCTTCCTTTTGACATCGACCTTGATGCGTGTCTACAAAAATATGTAGCCTCTTTCTTGCATTGTCACGACATATCATATCATAAATAGGATAATTAAGGAGAAATACTCACGATTCATTTGCGCATTCTCAAGTGCATCGATGTCTTCTTCAGCTAATGAAACCCTTGCTCTATTTACTTATCTAACTTTACGTGTAAATGCCGTTCTCGCTCCGCCGATTTTCGTTCTTGGTGTAATTGGTAATGCGATTAATATTTGGATCTTTACAAGGAAATCGCTGCAGAAAAATCCCTGTTCAATATACTTTTGTTCGGCATCTATCGTCAGTTTACTGGCCCTCTGTTCGGGACTGATGAGTCGTCTTCTCGGTGGTTATTCAGCTGATCTAACAACCTGGAATAATGTTTTATGCAAATTACGTTTCTATTCCTATTATTTAGGTATCGTTCTTCTCTCATGGTTTTTAGTTTTTGCGTCACTCGATCGTTTTCTGTCGACGTCACAATTCGTAAATTATCGAAAATTGAGTTGTACTCGAATCGCCTACCAACTTGTGTCGTGTTCGACAGTTTTTAGTATCTTAATCTATCTTCAAGTCTTTTACTGTTTCATCGCAGATCCAAATCAATATCCAGTTCAATGCTATGCGTACGGAGACATCTGTCGGACTTTTAATGATTTACAATTTCTCATTATTTACTCACTGCTGCCGGCGATTCTCATGGGTATCTTTGGATGTCTAACAATTCGAAATATTCAACAAATGGAGAGACGAATCGATTCGACAACAAATATTCCCAATTACCGACAAAAGAGAATTCAACTTGTTCCAATGCTTCTCGTCCAAATCGCTTTCTTTCTTATCTTTACAATTCCACTGGCTGTAACAAAATTTTACAATACGCTAATCGTTCTTTTACATCTGCCACTAACACCACAACGTCAGGCCTTCGAAACATTTGTTTTCAACATTACAGTGCTGGTATCATATCTGAATTGTTCGATCAGTTTCTACGTTTACACTTTGGCTGGCAATCTATTTCGACAAGAACTAAAGAAAACTGCACAGCAAATCGTGGCGAAGATCAGATGCTGAGCAAAAACTACTACAAAAATTGATGAACACGCAAATGAATTCTTTTTCTATCGAACGAATCGACCATTTCTTTTATTATGTACGAAAGGATCACAACGGAAATATAATGTCATAACAGTCTGATTATGTATTCATTTCGGGAGTGAAACAGCACTGACATTAGGTAGTTCCAACTGTTCGTTATTTATGTGTCGCGCCTCTACAGCTTTCAGACTCACTATTTTCCAAAATGAACGCTTCAATTCTTGACGAAAGGACCTGGAAGTAATAACATAGATATAAAAATCGGTACAATTTGCTATCAAATGCACGAATATGCCAAGGTTGGATATAAAATCATTGCGATTCTGTTCCCAAGCTGTCAATACTTCAAATCTAGTTGACGCTTTATAGATGGTATACGTCATGATGAGACTGTCGCCGATGACATGAATAACGTTCATTGCAAATAAACAGCGAAGCATTTGGAAATCCTTCTTGTGCATCTTTCGAACAACGTGCCGTTGTTCAGGTGGAGCTAATTTCATTTGACAGACATTTTTCCACGAGTATATCGACAGCACGACCATAAGTAAAAATAGCACAACATTGATTATCAACTGAGAATAATGTAAGAAATCTGGATAGGGTCCTGTTAGTTCAAATATACATAGAAAGATCACGGGATTCATTTGATAGGTATCGAATTTGACAGGAACATGAATATAGTAAATACACCAGACGACAAGGGTTATACTAAGAGAAAAGTATGCCAGACGACTTGAACTGTACAAACGAATATCGACATTGGCCGATGAAATCAATAAACGGTCGATCGAAGCGAGGACAAGAATACTCGGTGACATTATATCAAAAACAAACACTACATAGTTGAATAGTTTGCATAAGAAGACACTATCATTCAAGAATTGACTGTCAAATCCATAGACAAGGATGTTACATAACAAGATGTTGTTGATATTGATGAATTCGGTTACGAGAAGAATAAGAAAATAAAAGACGCAGACGTTCTTACGCCACGCTCTTTGAAGAAATATCCAGAGGCTTAATAAAACCCCAATATTCCCACAAATGTACAATGGAATACCAATGAATCGATAGAGGTAACCGATGAGATCTGCGAAAGCATCCATGGAAAGGTGAACTGTAGCATTAAAATGAGATTCCAGCATCAGGACAGCTACTTCTATTTATTCTGTGCAAAGCTTCATTTCTTTGAAAATCCTCCTAGAAGATTCGACTAATTCTATTTCATCAAAAGTCAGCAGATTTCTCAGACAAGCATAATTATGGACGATGTCAATTAGTGTAATCCTACTTATGAGAAGAGGCCTTTCATAAGACTAAAATAGTTTCTGCGCGAACAACGTCGACAGAGCGCGTAGAAAATAATTTTCAGACTACAAAACCTTTCAGCAAGTATTTAAACAAACGTAGAACATGTTTTTTTTTTATTTTGCATCTTTTATTGATAATATATTAAATACTGTCCGTATGCTTGCGTATCATGATAAGTGACATAGATGTGATCACCATCGGTAGTTGTATGATAGTTCGACGGGCAGACTTTCATGTTAGTATTCCCTAATGTTGAGTTACCAATCAGAACCCGTGCATAAAACATGCATCGTTCTCCGTGATTGTTCGGTATGCTATACACATGACTATAACTTGCATTGGATGAAAAATAAACTCCGCAACCGTATTGTGTTCCTTCCAAAGAAAACAGAACGAAGCAGAAATGCAAAACCAATAAGATGCGGAATCATCAGTATTCCATACCGTTTTCTCCACTTAGACTTCGATTGAAATAGTCTTTGATGATACTATCTGCAGCCATAGCCGAACAACCATGGTAGAGAAATTTCTCCTCTCCTCTCTTCTGTATANAGTAATCGTGATGTTCAACGGATATGATTCGGTTTTGATATGATTTATCATTGCGCGAGCAATAAAATCCGCGTCGAAACCGTATTGCCCACAACCAATAGCAGGAAATGCCACGCTTGTGTAGTTTTCATCGAGTACATATTTCACCGCTTTGGATAGAAAAGTTTTTATCGTTTGTTCGGTGAAAATGAGCTTTTCATCGGGTGTCCATGGTAAAAATAGAATCCGTTGGCATGGTAAATTTGAACATTCCAAAGCAATCATTTCATCATGGGATTTCGTTCGTTTAGCTTGTGCATATGCTCTTTGAATATGCGGACCAGCTGCTCGAAGGACAGATTCTCTTAATCCATCCGACGATGAACATACTACGATTACATCGACCTAACAAATACGAAAAAAGCATTGGAAATATTGTTGAAATCGTTTGGCTTACTCGTTGATTAGTCAAATATCCCTTGTTTACTTTCAAATTTAAAGTGAGTGAAGAGCATATGTCATAAATGCTTAACACGCATAGACCTAATGGCATAAATTCGTGATCTGGAGATAGTTGACAAATGTATCTAGGACAGTGACATTCACAACTGAAAAAAATAGATAAATCAACGTGGATAAAAAGAAGCGTTTTACCAAATTTCATCTTCATCATGTTCAGAATCATGATCACTGCCCGTATCAGTATCATTTTCGATGCAAAAACGAGCAATATGACCCGGTTTTTTACACTTGAAACAGATTTTTCCACTCATAATCTAGAAAAATCACATCAATCAGCAAAGCAGTGGGAGAAATGGTTTTCTGCGTAATTATCGTTTCAATCGATGAAAATCGCTTTTCCTTTCCAAGAAATTTTGACCTATCATTGTACCGAACAGTGAAGTGACCTGTACATAATGGCACCAAAAGACATACTGGACGAATTTTCGTTATAAGCGATTAATATATATACATATACAGAAGAGAGGAGAGGAGAGGAGAGAGAAACGAAAAGGAAAAAGAGAACGACACATACCACTCACATGGCTATAGCATAACTTCTTCGCGTCATAGTTTCGTATTTTCGAAAATATAAGTATTTACTTGGAATAATCCATTTGATCTTCTTTGTTTTATGCTGTTTCTATCACTGTATGACAACTATCGAAACAAATAATTACGGGATTTTTCCGATCTTTAACAGTCAATATCGTCGTTATTGTTTTTCCTCTAATTCGAAAAGATGTTTAGTCCACATAGACGGATTCCTGACGTCATATATGATATGTGCAACTATACGATGACGTATGATGGAAAATTTCATAGATTACGAAAATATCCATTACGATAAACAATCGGATCATTCGTAACAAAGGAAGTTTCGAGTGACTTCACATGAAAATGAGATCTTTTTCTGCAGTTACCAATAATGAAGAAGGCAGAAGGCGAGGAAAAGACAATTCGAGACTAATCAAACTGAAATGAACGGCAACGAGTATACATGAAAAGAGCGCGAGAAACAACGAGAGAACGACGGCACAGCATGTTTAGTATATATGAAAAACGTCATTTTCTTTGAAATCAGTAATAATATGAAAGAAACATTTCGAAACCATGTGCCTGCTACATACTTTGCGTTGCTTCACGTTCTAGAAATATTTACACTTGATATCAATTGAAACCTAGACAAGTCTATATATACATATACATGTTGCCATGCATCACTGACCGTTGCATTTCTGTCTTTGACCGGCCATTATGAACAATGAAAGGTCAATGCTGTCGAGAAATTTCGATAACTATAGGAAATATTCAATTTTGCCGAATACACTGTTCTATAGTTTGTAATTTGCTTAGATCTGTTATAATTTAAATTCTATCGGTAATGTGTCAACAGTTCAATGTTTGGATAGTTACGGAGAACTTTCGTCAAATATAGTTTTTTTTCTCCGCATCGAGGAAAATCTAGATCAATAGTGAAAAATGAGTTTTATTAATCACTCTTTTCGGACGTGAAAGTTTCATTACCGTTTTTTCTCCTTCACAACGAACTCGTCACTCAAAGTCAAAGTAAAGAATACAGTTTACTGAATATTTTCAAGCTATGATGTTGAAAAATGTGTTTGCCGTTGTATTGATAAACCTTTTGATTATTGTCAAAGTATCAGGTATCAAAATAGAGATGCATTTGATTGAAGAAACTCTTTATGAATGTTGTTTTAAGACGAACTGCAGTTATCGTCGGACAGAACTTGGGACCAAAATGGAATCACAGTTGCTGGAAATGCAAATGGAAGCGGTGGATCATCACTGCACTCTCTTAGTCAACCAACAGGCATCGTAATTCTTGATGATGATGATGATGATGATGTGCTCTATGTCAGTGATTGTCTCAATGATCGTATTGTCGTTGTTCAACTTGGAGTCACAAATGATGTGTTTACCATTGGGTCTGGATATGGTAGCGCTCCTACTGAATTCGCTCGTCCATCTGATGTGTTCATAATCGACGCAGCTTTATACATTAATGATGCTCAGAATTTACGAGTGAAAAGAACTTCATTGAATGGCTCGAATCCAACCATTGTTCTCAACTATACTGGTGCACTGAATTCACCTACTTTTTTATACGTTGATAAAAACAATGGCATTTATCTCAGCGAAACAAACGGCCATAGAATAGTCTATTTTCCTGTGAATTCATCGTATAGTTCCGTTGTTGCTGGCACAGGAACGCCGGGAGCGAATACCAACCAGCTTTATACACCCTATGGATTTTTTGTTACCGATAATGGAACGCTCTATATTGCAGATAGTTTCAATCATCGAATACTAAAATGGTTATCGGGAGCGTCATCAGGCACTGTAGTGGCCGGCAACGGCACAGCCGGGGCAAGTTTATCTCAACTTTCTGTTCCCACAGACGTCATTGTTGATGATAATGAGCAAATCTACATTTGTGAACATGGAAACTCGAGAATTACGCGATGGAAACCGAATTCACAATTTGGTGAATGTATTGCTGCGTGTACAGGAACATTCGGAGTTACAGCAACAGAACTATACAATCCAATTTCTTTAGCATTCGATAGATACGGTTCGATTTATGTCAGCGATTATGGAAATAATCGAGCTCAAAAATTTCAAATCGTTCTCCACAGTAAAATCATTTCGATTCTAATTTCATTCGTTCTTTGCTTTTGCTTTTCACTTAGATATTTCGTTCAACCAACCTAAATTCTCCACTTGTACAACATGGAAATCTCATGCAACTACTAGTGTAAATCGAAGCTACGTTGGAACAACACCGTACAGTTTATTTATCGATACGAACAATATGATATACGTCAGTGAATATGCTTATAGTCGTGTTCAAGTGTGGCTCGAAAATATCACAACACCGGCAAAAAATATATCTGGTGGCTTGAGTTATCCGTATTCCGTATTTGTTACAGATAATGGTGATGTCTATGTTGACAATGGTGTATCTAACGATCGGGTAGACAAATGGACGATAAATAAAACAAGTAGCGTTCCTGCAATGTATGTTCAGAGCCGCTGTCGTGGTCTGTTTGTTGACATTTATGAGAACATTTACTGCTCTATGGATTTAGAGCATCGTGTTGTAAAACGATGGTGTACCGATGGACCAAACGTCACAAAAACGATTGCTGGAAATGGAAGCGCTGGAGCATTGGCACATATGCTGAAAGGCCCAACTGGTATTTTTGTCGATGTAAATACGAATTTATATGTCGCAGATTGTTACAACAACCGCATTCAATTTTTCCTGTCTGGAAAACTAAATGCTACTACAATCGCGGGTAGTGGCGCACCAGCCACAATATCGCTGACGTGTCCGACCGATATTAAACTTGACGCGGATGGATATTTGTTTATTGTTGATAGTCAAAACAATCGAATAGTTCGATCGAGATCTCTTGGATTTGAATGCATTGTTGGATGTTCGAGCGGTGCTGGTTCCACATCGAACAAATTGAATCAACCGACGACTATCAGTTTCGACAGCTTTGGCAATTTATTCGTCACTGATCTGATAAATAATCGTGTACAAAAATTTCTATTGACCAACGAGAACTGTTGTAAGTCAGCTTGGTGTCTCTTTGTCTTCTGTAGGTTCTCCTATTCTTTCTTTAGCCGTCTCCTATAATCAACCGAAGTTTTGTCTCAATGCCAGTTGGAATTCGAATGCCACCACGTTTCTAGATTCGAAAGTAATTGGCTCTGAACCTCAAGATATTTTCATCGATACGAACGATACCGCCTACTTAGTCTCTCGAGTTTCAGGCGATATTTTCATCACATCCAAAGACGGCAATAATACATTACTGCTGAATATATCAGTTGGTTCAAAAATACGATACAGTCTTTTCGTCGCAAATAACAAAGATGTTTACGTGGACGATGGTGCTGTTGATGGTAGTGTTGATAGATGGATATTCAATACGACGAGAGTTGTCACATCTATGAATGTCACAAGTTTGTGCTATGATTTATTCATTGACATAGATGATGTCCTTTACTGTTCGAACGACAATCAACATCAGGTTGTGAAAACACTACTCGAGAGTAATTCGTCGACAGTGACCATTGCTGCTGGAAATGGTACACAAGGATCCGAATCAAATATGTTATTCTTTCCTAGAGGAATCTTTGTTGATATGAATAGGAATCTGTATGTCGCAGATTGCGGTAATAATCGAGTTCAAAAATATAGTTCGAATCAGTTGAATGGCATAACAATTGTTGGCACTGGTTCAAATCATTCGACTATTCTTTCGTGTCCAGCCGGTATTGTACTCGATGAGAATGATTATCTTTTTATCGTTGATTCAAACAACAATCGCATCATTGGCTCATCGTCAGATGGATTTCGATGTATAGTTGGTTGTTCAGCTGTGGCAGGTTCAGCAGCAGATGAACTAAACTCTCCACAGCAAATTAGCTTTGATAGTTATGGAAATCTTTTCGTCACTGATTCGGACAACGATCGTGTACAAAAATTTCTCCTCGATCCGAATTCTTGTGGTAAGATTAGCATATATTCAATAACCGTTTTAATCTTTCAATTTAGATAACACGGTGCTCTCGACGACTACCAAGCAGACGAGCTTGTATTCAACTGAACTTCCCACAACGGCATCTGTCTCAACCAGTACTATATGCGACATGCTTCGACCGTGTCAATATAATGGTTCGTGTTATGCTGGGAATAATACACAGTATGGTTACATTTGTACATGTCTGTCAGACTTCAATGGTAGTGAATGTCAGTATGATCAACGCCTGTGCAAACCAAACACTTGTTGGAACAATGGTTTGAAATAACTTTTTTTTCTTTTAATAAAAAGTTTGAAAGATTTTTCTTAGGCGTTTGTAATGAAACATCGAACAGTACGGTTTTGTGTTCCTGTCAAATGGGTTGGATGGGCATTTATTGCGAAGAAAAACTTGATTATTGTCAGAATGTCACATGTGAGAACAATGGCGTCTGTCGAAAATTATTGCTTGGTTATCGATGTGAATGTCTTGGTAACAGTTACTCCGGCCACCATTGCGAATTTACCGATGGAAAAACAGTTTTGTACCAGAGAATTGCCAAATCGTTTGCTTACATCGCAATAATTGCAATGAGTCTTGTCGCGTTGTTTGTTGTGTTTATGGACATATTGAAATATTGTTTTGGCATTGATCTAGCTGATAGAGATTTACCACGAAGAAACAAAGTAAAGAAACGCAGAGCGCCTGTTATTCTCCGATTTGTATATATTGATTCAGTAAGATCATGAACAATGGAGAAATTTGCCGAGAGCGCTTCGGAATAATCGAGTTCGTTGTTTGTTTGTACTCAGAATATAAAGTGACGTTGAATTGACTTTCTTTCTTTTTTGTATACGAAGAGAAGTCAGTTGAGCACACGTCACACGACTGTTTGCTTTTCATAAATAAACGGATCCGATTAGTCGTGTTAAAAGAAATTCGCTACTTTTTCTCGTATTGAAGAAGATTTGTTTCAATAGGGGAAAACTTGTCATTTATTACTACAAAAGAAAATCAGAAAACTGTATGAAAATCAAAAGTGCGAAGAAATTGCTATCGTCGAGTAATTCAATTTATTTCGTCATAATTCACCAGATATTCCAATCTTTTCCAAATCACGACTCCACCTTTATTATTCACTTCTTTCAAATCTTTGTTCGCAAGTCGAACCAAAGCTGAATATCCTTTGCCGGTCCATCCAGCTGGAAGAACTATGATATCTTTCGTGAACATTGGATGCGGCGCTATTCCCACATCGGATCGTTCGATATTATATCCACCGACGACGAGTGTCACTGAATCACATCCATAAATGCCATCCATTGCAAATGATTATCTAAAACAAACCGCGACAGAATATTCAAAGTTCATCGAAATACATCAAGAACAACGATATGACAAAATTCGCCCAGTTTTTATAGTAACGAACACCGTTCGTTTTCTTCTGATGATAATGAAGATAGAACTAATGTTTACAAGAAAATAATACGCAATTTCTTCATCAAAACACACACAAAAGCCATTGATTTCAAGATCGTATGCGTAATACAACATCGAATATTTCATCTGTAATTGACGCAATTGCCTTCAGATCGTAACAGATTATTTATCTGGACGATCTTCACTAGAACGATATCAATGTGAGAGATGGACTTGAACGAGTCGATGATGATGATGATGAAATCAAAGAAGCAAGCAACAGTTGTTTTTTTTACATCATAGCGCGCGTTTATTGCTCTACCTTGATGAGAAAAGAAGATGCTGATGTCCTTCATCTGATGAAAAGTTTAACGAAGAAAAGCAACTGTGAATACATTAGACATGAAAACATCGTAGTAGTTTTTTTCGATATTCAAAAATGACTTTCTTGAATTGCTTTTTGTAGAATGTCGATGGTAACACAAAGATGGCGAATGTCAACATCGGTGGAATCAGTGAGATGAAGTATCCAATTAAAAATACCCACGAGTCGTTGGCTGATTGCATACATTTTGTTATGAAAGAAATGATCACACGGGGTATTGCGAGAATCACTAATAGCAGTGGAGCGGTCAGCAGGTGTTTGTGTTCACGAATTTGTTTGATTAGGAGTATGCGAAAACTTCGGTGAGCATGTACTTTCGCTTGTTGATAGGTTTTTTGTGTTATTAAGATAATCGTTGAGATCAGATTGATGATAAATGGACCGAAGAAATGGAAAATATACATTGCGGAGTTGAACGTTTGCAATGCACGAGGATATTTTGCAATACACCACACTCGTGTGTGCTTCTCATCTTCGTTTTCTTCTTCAATGAGTTCGCGAAAAAGAGCATCGTGTACCACAGTACCTATATTGATAATCAAAACAATGAAGATCATATGTTTAGCAATCTGTCGACTTTTGATCTTGTTAAACGATGGACCTTTTATAGATGTAACAGCTCGTTCGATGGCAACGCATGCGTTGAACCATTGCTCAGCGTTGATGAGAACACGTAAAAGAAAGTCAGCCGAATGACATTGAACCAATAGAAATAATTTATTAGATAGAATATTCATTTGCGAAAGGATTAATGCCAAGAATTTCAGCGTAAAGGCAATCATGATAAATAGCGTCATTATAGATGAGGCGAAGAGATAAATTCCACAGCCAACTTCTTGGATAATTTTGCACCTAAATGTGAGGATTGAAAGTAAGCTATTGATGAAAATAATTGTTGCACATATGAACGATAATGCTAGACTGAATTTGAAAATGATTGATTGATGTGTCAAAGGAGTATTTGGTTGAATGTGATAACCGAGAATAGCATCAAGTGATAGGCCGAGTCCACTCGTGCCAAATTGGCATAATCCTCCAAAGTAGCATAATTGACAAACACATCGCGAACGCATGGGACAATCGGGGTGATCTTGAAAGCAGCGAGCACCGTTTTGACATTCACTGGTTCCCGAACAGTCGTATGTCATGTTGTGTTGGAATTCGAAACAATTGGCCAAACGTTTTTGATTGTATTTATAGCATAAACACATGTGAATATCATCGTAAAAACACGAGAGATTCAATGAATGATCTTGACAATGTAAATGAGAATACTTGATTTGATGAATGTAAGGTAATTGACGTAATGTTTTATTGAACAGTTCGTTGATATGAAAACAGCGATCGGATGGTTTAATTTGTTTTATTGTAGGTATATGTGATCGGAAAGTTTTGTCTACGGAAACAAGATAATATTGGTTTATATGAAGTTCAATAAACGCAATATGATATGATCTTGACCAGTATATCTTCAATGGCGCCTCTTTTACTGGAGTTATGGCATAAGTACTTGCTCTCGCGTGAGTAGCGTAAAAGCCAACAGAGACGAAATGAATAATTACATCTCGAGATAAAGAAATTCCCTTGTCAAATGAAAGAAGTATCCTTCTATCTTGTTTGCGACATTCATCGCCAGAGTAACCTTTTGAACATATGCATTTGAATGTAGATGGCAGTTCGCTATAATCATTGCTGGGAATACATGTCCCATTGTTTTCACATGGCGAAGATTGGCAGACAGTACTTGTAAGAAGACATCGCGAACCGAATTTTGGTAAAGGACAAACACATATTGACCGATTAGCAGCGCTTATGCCAACGCATTTTGAATCTTGCGCACATGAACAGTTATATTTAATCGCACAATCCGATCCTGTCCATCCTTCGTCACATTTACAAAAGCCGAAGTTTTCTTCACTGTTCATGTACTTGACACATTGGCCATGACGACATGCGTGTTTCGAGCAGTAATCAATATTGGCTTCACTTCGAGGAATATCAATAACGACTGGTACGTAATGAACGGGTAAAAACGGGAATTTTATCGGAAATAAGAAACTTCCTCGATAAGTTAAAGAGAATCTTTCAAAGATATCCACATGTATTGAATAGCCCCTTGTTTGATTCTTTGGTCGAGTAGAATACAGTAAATAGAGACGATATTTTCTTTGACAATCTCGCACCGGTAGATAATTGATTTGTTCATACGAATGAACAATCCGTTGATAAGTGTTGTCAATAAGAGAAACCACTATGACAAAGGGCGTCTGACGAGAGTTTGATGACTCGCGAAATCGAGCAATGAAAATCAAACGTTGATTTTGGTATTGACATGCGTTTCCATAGAAATTCGGCGGACAGAGACACGCTGGTATCGAATTATTGCCATTCAACCAAACATGTATTTCCAGACCATGATGACAACGACCTTGATATTCACTCAAATAGGGTATTAACTGACTCTGTCGTCTCGATCTGACAAGCGGTTTTTTATTTTCGACCAGAGAGAAATATGTCAAGCTAAGTTGTCTTCGACTTTGTAAGTACGGGCATAATACTTCGTCTATCTCATTTCGTTGAGACGAAGACACAATTATATCAGCACAATGATCAGAGGACTCGCCCTCTTCCGAAACGACCACACAAAATTGTTCGTCATCTCCATGCAAACAATTGATTTTCCCATCACACCATTTTTCACTACTAACACAACTCGCGTTCGTTCCCATACAATAGAAATTATCTGGAAATTCAACTTCATAATCTTTTCGGCATAAATGTTGTTCATCAGTGCCACCAAAACAATGGACAACACCATCATTCGCTTTTTCGATGGGTAGACACATTGGCTTGTAATCATCCATTGAAATGCATAGATGGTGATTTCGTGGGCAATTCATTAATCTTGAACGATTACAATGCAGTTCGTCTGCGCCATTTGGACAATTCCAATAGTCATTACAGTGTGTATATATACTGTTGCATTCCCAATATTCACAATCAGTTTCATCGGTATGATTCTTCCCGAAAATGGTAATTGGTAATAATTCGGTGAAACCATTACAAGTTGTTAGAAATGAAATGTTGTTTTTTAGATAATTTAGTATTTGCATATTTTCCTCGTATTGACTGAACGTTACACTACCAAATGGATCCTCATTACCAGGTGAAACTAAGACGCCGTTATCTAAGCGAGGACAACAAAGCGTACTCTTGTTAACATTGCAAATGTGAAAATACATACCTTTGATTGGCGGAACACATTGCCGATTATTTGATTGCTTGCAAAATGTTGAATTATAGAGAAATATTTGATGATATTTTCGAAGATTTTTATATATACTGGATAAATCCATATATACAACAAAAGTTCTTTTTGGATAGAAAAACCAAAGTTTAGAGAGACGTCTCGAACATGTTAAATTACCAATCATTATCTTTTTCTCACTAAAGTGATAAACGTCATGGTAAAGAGCGTTGTAACACATAAAAAACGCTAGATCATTCTTTGTGCCAAAGATCTCCGAAAAATTTTTATGATAGACAATATAAATATGGGTGAACAGCAATGGAATTGTCGGGAGAAATACCGTTTCAGGGCATTCATTTTTAATAATATCCATACACGTTCTGTGATCACAAACCTGATTGCAAGTCAGGTTGCTATCTTCATAAATATGAACAAAACATTTGATTGCAGACAAACATTCATTCGAGACCGAACTGTCTTGATTAACAAACATGGCTTGTATTAACAAATATTTTCGTTTCTCATCACAAGAACTAGTGTACTCATTGTCTTTGCATACCATATCTTCACATTTAAATGACATAGGAATGAAGCCGCATAGATTATTGACATTGGTCGGTTTTCTTGTATCACTACCGTCACTACATTCGAAATCATGCGTAACTTGATCGGCACGGAATATTTTCGGTATACAGTGCCCATTCTGACATTGAAATTCATCTTCATTGCATTTATTTAAATCAAGTTGCCAACAATTTTCTTCGTCAAAGTCACCGTTGAGACAATTCAGTACACCATCACATATTTCAGTCCAATCTAAGCAAACAGGATACGGTCCACGGTCACAATTCAGATGGACGTAACAAGTTAACGTAGTCGGGATATACTTATTCGCTTCATAAAATGCTTGAGCCAAACGAGTAAACGATAGATATCCCGAACTTTCAAATTCCAACTGGTACTGACATTTCGGACCAAACCGTGGCCATGTACAATTATAAAAAACTTCATTCGCTAAAACTTGATCATTGTCCGCCAAGGATAGCTTATCCGAATATGACTGATATCGTTCGATAATGTCAATCGGAGTTGACCAGATATACAATTGCGAACTTGTGACGTTTTGTTGATAAAGTTCGGCAAATGTGAAAGTTGAAGAAACATTAACGTTATCAATCGTCAAATTTGATGGTAATTCACTCAAACAAAATGTTGAGAGGCTACGAAAGGGGGGATTGTCTGCGTTTTCGATGAAACGTAAACAATTGTTCGAAATTGAATTTTTTTCACTGTCGTAATCCGTATGGTAAAGATTCAGTTGTGGTGCGCCATCGAGCGAATTTAGGGAAAGAAGAAAGAATAATAACGTTGTAAAACTCATTGTTTTGCAAAGCAAATGTCATGAAAATAGAAATAGTGCTGCGCTTTTTGTTTTCTCATTGAGAAGCACGACATATGCGAAAAGTTTGCTGACGGAAGCTACCTTATGCCGGTCATGATTTGCTGCTAACTGGCAAACAGTTTAATCTCGTTTTCAAACATTCGTGACTATTCAGCGAGTGCAACAGAAGATTAATATAATTAACAGAATTAAATCGTACTTAATTAAGAAATAGAACGCTTTGAATAGAATATTAAAGAGTGCAAAGCATTACCTTGACGATAAATAGAAATAAAATATTTTAACATAAAACCAAAGATTACAAGCGCGACAGAACGAAAAGAAAAGGAAAAAACCTGTTGGCAATATAATTAGTAACACATTTATTTCTCGCCATTTCAATTAATTAGTGTAGCTTTTGATTACAAAGGTAAATTTCATTTAGAATAGTTCGATTTCCTTCACAACATATTTTTACGATATGTTTTCGTTGTTCACATTGGCATATTCTCTATTCGTATTGTTAAAACTTTCATTACCAACTGCTGCAAATAAATCTCATAGTTTTTGTGCAACAGAAGCTTGCGTCATTGGGCAATATGAGCAAAGCATCGTCAACGCCATAATGGTTCTTATCATCTGCTCCATTCTCTGGTGCATATTAATGTTTTATATTTGTGTATTTACAAGCCAACAAAAATCTCGAACGAACGCAACATCTGCTAGTGTACATAATAGCATCGATTCAGCAACACAAAATGAAACACATGCGGATATGATGTTCGAATCGGGACAATGGATCAGTCGATATTTTCAGCGTGGCCAATGGCATAGATCGTATCTACATAAGATCGCTTTTGATATGAACCAGAATACTTTCGTCGGGTATGGTAATGATGATCTTGGACAATTTCGGACAATAGGATATATATCACTAACGTCGTCGACTATAAATATGACGCAGACATACGTTCGTGTTCTTCACGATCAAAAGATTGACTTAAAACATGAACTGACGATTGAACTGCAATGGAATGGAGAACAACGCGTATTTGTAGGTAAATGGACGAGTGAGTCCGATGGATATGAAGGAAAAGGTTCATACGAACTGACAAAATTGCAGTATCAAATAGCAAAATAAAAATACGTTGTTGTTTTACTTTAGCGGTTTGTTTTTTTTCACACGTTGAAAGCGATACCAAGAATAATCAATGATATGATGCTAATTACCAATTTGTTTCTCTTTCTTTTTCCAAATGTCGTAGGCTGCTGATGCTTTTTTTTTGTATACAATGGTTCGTTATCTAATGCTGTTGGCTGTCTTGATTTTCTTTGCTGAAGTGACTACGGAAGATCAGAACGAGAGATCGTATGTGGCTAAATGTACAGCAAAACAGTGCGTTACACTAAAATGGATCGCTTACTCTCTGTGGATTGTTGTATTGGCTGTCTGTATCATTGATACTCTTAGTGTATGTGTTCTATTGCGTTATCGGCATGCCTTTCGACGAACAAATGAATCATCGAATAGATCGGAACAGGAGTTGGCTGTTCCGCTAGCCGAGGAAAATATTTTCCAATCAGGACGATGGGTCAGCCGATATCATCAAGATGGGTCATGGTATAGTCCGCATTTTCAACAGATAAACTTCAGTGTGATACAAGATAGTTTGGAAGGCCATGGTGAAGACGACGTCGGGCGATTCAATATAATTGGTCACATTTCTAACGCTGCGCTTAAGATGAGCATGATCAAAAGATATCCATCCGAAGCTGACGGTTACGAAGTTAAGATTGATTTAGAATGGAACAGTCGGCAAAACGCATTTGTAGGAAAATGGTTTGTTCACACAAACACATATCAAGACTCCGATCGGTTTGAACTAAAAAAAGTTTAGGCTATGAAAAATGACATTCAATGAGGCGAAGACAATCATTCTCTCAAGTGTCAATTTCCAATTTTATTTTCTAATTTTTGTATACAATTTTCCAGTGTCAATCGAATTCGTTCTCGATTTTTAATCATACTGAACTTTCTCCAAGCAGTGAGTTTGCCTTCTTGAAGATAACGAGCGATAACATTCACATCTCTAATATCACTAATCAATCGAAAGTAATCGATCAATCGTGCATTGGGCACCATAGTTATTTGACCTTGAAATTCCTGTAAGAATAAAAACGACCAATCTTGTTCTTGAACGGCCGGTAATACATCTAACATGCCTAGAACACGCAGATACTTCTTCATATCTTCTTTCAAAAGTAGTTCAAATGTAGCTAGAAGAAATCCTCCACGATATGCGCCCCCACGTAAACGCCAGCCCGATGGGAGCCCACCTTGCCCACGCGCATTGAAAAAGAATGGAATTATGTGTGGATTGGTTTGACTAACTAGAAAATAACTACAACCAAATACCTCCGATAACGTATTCAATGGAATATCGTTCTCGAAACTTCCATCACGGAACTGTAATCGTTCATCATGCAATGGACGGTAACTTATTTCACCTTGGCGATTGATTATTTTTTCAATCAAATGAACTGGATGAATCAGGCCAGGCACAGCTGCTGATGCTAAGACAGCCGATGCTATTGTGACATTCGGTGTCGATAGATAATTGAGACAGAGAGGCGGCGAATGTTTTCGTGCGCTTGTTGCGGTGATGTTCAATATCCGACCAGTTTTTTCATATGCTTCTTTGAAAGTCAATCCAACCGTTCCTGGCCCATCGGCACCTGCAAACCACTGCAGTTTCTCTAGCCAACGATCTCGATCGAACATCGCACGATGCTTCACATAATTTTTCAGTCGATCAATCCAAGAAACATCGAAACAATTGAATTGTGATAATAAAATATTCGCTTCTAATGTCGATCGTAGTTCTTCATCAGATCGGGTGCAAACAACAGCTGCCACAACTGCTCCACTACTTGTACCACTGATAATTTTCGGCAGATATCCAGAGGACAGAAGTGCCTTAACGACTCCCCAATGATAATGACCAATACCAGCGCCACCTGATAGGCATAATGCTGTTGCACCGTAATGAAATTTCATTGCTTTCAACGCTTGTAAGACAAGTTCAGTCGATGGAATTTCCTGTGATGTACTGTTCACATTTATCATATCGATTGTTTGCAATTCAGTGTAATCGATCGATGACAGATTATCTGTTGAATGTGAACTTTTGATCTGAATCGATTGAGCTTGTTCGGTAAGATACTCTAAACTTGTAACAATCTCTTCAATATATTCCTCAATGACGTATTTCGTGCCAACTAAACTTTTCGAGTACAGATGCTCGTTGAGTATACCATTCATGTTTTTATTGATACACATTTGCAATAGTTTCATACTCTTTTCTAAATCACCAGATTCACGAGAAGTTTTTAATTCATGGGTCAACTTTCGAATTAGTGTATTATTGTAATATTTCGATTCCGAACTGGCTTTCCACACTTCTCGTCCGTGTAGTTTATCGGTTTCGTTAGCATATTCATACCATTCTTCATACGTTTCAGCATTGTTCAACATCGGTGGACGAATAAAGAGTGATTCGAGTAGCCGAATGAAGTACCGTAAAGATATATAAATAATCAATTCAATGATGATAAACGACATAAAACAAACAAATATCGGCCATTTCAAAACACGTTTTGTGCCAAGTAGATAACAGAAGAATACGACGATGCCGATGGTTACATAGAACGAATGCGTCGATGTTATGTCGTATCCCAGCCATTGAAATAATGTTTGTGGTATTATGACAAGTATTCTCTTTTGAGAAATAAAGTAATATATGGTACCAACAATGAATAATCCCATAAACATGCTGGTAGAAACAAATGAATCGAAATTAACCTGTTATTGTTAGATCTTCAAACTTTTTAAGTGCAAAACGAAATATTTTTTCTTTTCTCTGTGCGAGTGATAAACACTCCACTCACCTGTTATCAGCATAAATGAAATCACGTCGGTTTTTTACTCCGTTTCTCATCTATTTATTGAATTTACATTAAAAAAAGTAAAAGATAAAAAAGATACGAGCCAGGGGAATCTTTTCTATCTCTCCACTCACATCCTCAAGAAACTGAATCAAAGTGTTCCGTTATTCAATACGTGATCGAGTGCGATTCTGTATTTGTTTTTGCCAGTAACAAATCATGGGAAAGAAAACTAATTCAACAATAGTAGCTAGAACCGCACCTGTTTCTAAACCCACCGCAAACAAACCCCATAAACGGCCTAAGCCACCGATAAATACAATGATACAAGCACGATGTAATTCCGTTGCGTCCCGATGAATATTTGGAATACTCCGTAGCAAAAATATTCCCATTGCGAAAAGATATCCAGATATGTAACGAAAATGACTGTCAACTTCGATTGAATAGTTCTCGGACTTGAATACTAAATTCGGTTTGAGAGTTATACCACTTGGACCCAAAAACATTCCTTTGAATCCAACGAATATTGGAACAAATGCGCTCAACGTAACTACGATTTTCAATGCTAAACTCTCATTTATCTTCACCATTGTCTTCTTCTTGTCGACTAAGAGTGAAAACATTCGTATCCTATCTCGATTCTGTATATAAATATTCTTCTTATCACAGACAACAAACATGAATAATGAAAAAGACTATACACATGTATACACACATTTGTTCAACAGTCAAACGAAACAAAATATATGAGAAGAAGTCGATCGTTTTATTCATCACTTGAGAAAAGAACATGAATGTACATTTTATATAATATTATCATTTGGTCCCAAATCCATCATAATACAGTTTCTACAGCACTTAACGCACCTTGTGCAACACAGATCATATTCGGCACAACAAAGCACTGGTCTTCGATAACAGATCAACGGTCGAGCATCAACACAAACAGTGGGCGTTGGATTTTCACATATGATATACCTGTCTGGTTCTTGAGTAAATGTTATATGAATTTCACTACCAGGATCGCAACGAAATGAGTACTCATATTCACAACATAACGCCATTTTTGCCAGGGAAAGTATATGGGGAAGAATTTGATGCATCAAATGTTTATATATGCGTACGACGAGAATACGGAAATAGCTTGATCGAATCAACAAAAACAACTAATTATTGATCGAAGTATGTCCAAGAAAACTATCACTTTCAACAAACGGAACTTACTAGAAGCATGACATTGATGTCTATTAACAAGTTTTGTTTCTCTAATTTTTATTTATTTGATATCAACCTTGACAAAAGTAGGTAAGTGTTCAGTAAACAAAATGTACGAATAGAAAAAAAAAACGAAAATTTTATTGTTGATGACATTGAACACCTTGTCTGTGATAGTGAGACTCAGCATCGTCGTCGTCGTCGTCGTTGTCTCCGCGGTGATTACGTTTGAAATCTTCTCTATTCATATAGTATTCATTCATTTCGGGTTTTTCATAGCGCTGAGTATTGTTCAATTGAATTCGTTTTTTCGCTGGAAGAATTGATTCTAATTGCTAGAAGAAAAACGAACAAAATTCGCGTCAATCGATGTTAAGAAAAAGAAAAGTGAAACTTACCACACGTTGACTCTCAGTTAGATGAAAGTTCGTTTCATCGGGGAATTTCACATCAAATTGAATGATCAAATCACCGTATGAATGTGTATTTCTATTCGGCATTCCATAGCCTTTGAGACAACGATAACTATTCGGAAGGATAGGCTTTCCTGGTGGATGATCAATTAGAATTTCGTGATTGTCTAATGATTTAATTAGACGTTGAAAACCGCATAGGCATTCGGTGAGATTGATCTCCATTCTCATAAATAAGTTATCATTCCTTCGTTCGAAAAGTCGGTGAGGTTCTTGTTTGAGAATAACAAACGCCGTTCCCGGTGTGCCATTCGGCTAAAACGATTCCAAAGGAAAAAGTGAGTAAAAGAAAATCGTCGTAAAAACTTACAATCTGATGACCTTCACCGTGAAATTTCACTGTTTCACAATCTGCACCACCTGGTACAATATTTACATCGAGAATTTTTTCTTCTCGATTGACTTTCTTTCCATAACATGTTCGGCATCGATTCTTTGGATCGGTCATATCTCCACTTCCATGGCAAACCGAACACTCACGACGTGTTTGGTGAATAAATGGGCCAGCACGATGAATGGATGTTTCCATTCCTGTTCCATCACAATTTATACAGCGACGGGTGACACCGTCAGAAGAACCAGTACTATTTGAGAATTCATTAAGATTTTTGCTTCGTTTGACAGGAAAAGGTCTCAACATACCCTCGGCAACTCTCACAAACAACATTACGATCGATGACAGCAACTCTTGTACTACCGGCGTACAATTCTTCCAGAGTAACTCTACGATAGAAAAACAAGAAAAAGTGAAATCGAGATATTGTTTTTTGTTATTTTACTGAAGGACTTGTTTGATATCTTCGCCTTTCGTTGATCGTGTCGTATGTCGATGAGTTGATCCATGATCGAATAGATTGAAGATGTCAAATACTTAAAATAACAGGAAATGTGGGAAACTTAGAGACAAAGTTGTTTTGTATTTACTTACTGTCATTGTGGAAACCTGGAAAATGAAAATCTTGATTTTCCATTCTCGATTGCATTCCTTTTAGTCCATACTGATCATAGGCTCGACGTTTTTCAGGATCACTTAGAATATCCCTTGCTGCATTGACTTGCTGCATCTAAATCATCCCGAAAGATTAACTATCAAATCTCTAGCTTAATCAATTTACCATTTCATGACTTCCACCACGATCTGGATGATGTTCCAATGCTTTTTTTCGAGCAGCTCTGGTAATTTCATCTTGTGTTGCAGAAGGTTCAACTCCAAGTACGTTGTATAAAGTCTTGTCAACAACCATCTTTCTTCTTTAGAGGAAAATAAAAACATAAAGTAGGTAGTAGATTACATTTTTTATATATGCATGTTGGCTTTTTCCATGATGACTCATTGGTATTGTCACAGCAACTTCTATCGTCATTTGTTTCTCGAAGAATCGAAGAAAAAGAACAGAAAGAAAGAACACGTGGGTAACGTATCGCACTGCGCTAAAGGATTTCTTCCGTAGAATTTCGTGATGTGAATAGTGTTATTGTCAATAATGTAAGGATAAATCCTTTTGCTTCATTTATCTTTATCCATAGATACTTTGTAGAAAATACAAAAAAAATTCTCAATAAAATAAATGTTTCTTCCTTCAGAGAAAAAGAATAATGATAAAGTTTAATCCATATCAACAATAGGCAACAGTGCAAGAAATTGTTGCGTTTTTTTATGTTTATCACCAAAAGTTTTCTTCATGATTCTTTGAGCTTTTGAATAATATTCTTTCGCTTCATCGAGTTTACTCTGTTTTTCAGCAAATTCTTGATTTTGTTGTTGATCCCCTTGTTTCTCACCTATTTCAGCGGCTATTTTCAAGCAAATATCACCCATAGTCGTATAAACATCACACATCTCAATGTGATCCATACCTAAACTATCTACTAAAATCTGTAAAGCTTGTTTAACATGTCCATAAGCTGTATGGTAATTATTCATCGCTGCATAGACAAGACCAAGAGAATTAAGAAAAATGCCATATTTATAATGTTGATCGTTGAATTCTTTTTTGATAATGACAAGTGCTCGATCAATATGAACAAGCGCTTGTTTGTAATTGCCTAAAAATGAAGAACGAATCGAGTTTTACGATATGTCTTTGTTTCATTTTGTTTTCCTAACTAACCGGATTGAAATTGAACTTGTCCGATATTATGAAGAATTTCAGCTGCTTCGGAATGTTCCGGACCAAGTGTTTTTTCAATTATTGCGAGAGCCCGTCGATAGATACGTAGCGCGCCATCGTAATCACTTCTTTTTCGATCAAGGTTCGCTAGATTATTGTAATAGATGCCCAGTTTATAATGTTCTTGATTTGGACCGAATGTGTTTTTGATAATTTTTATTGCTCTTTCATAGAATGCTTGTGCTTCATTATAATCATCCTTTTTCTCTAATACGAGACCCATTGAATTGAGTATTTCAGCTACTTCAATATGCTTTGGTCCTAAGGATTCTTCTAATACGGTCAATGCTTCTTTGTATATCACTTCAGCTGTTTTGTAATCACCTTGCTAAAAACAAAACAACAAATTCTTGCAAGGATGAAGATTTTCTTCACACTGATGAGCCTCTGTGCAACAAAATAAGTGAAATCGATAGATTACCTTTCGATAAATATCACCAATATTTCCCAAATACATTCCGATTGACTCGTGCTTATCACCATAATAGTGTTTGGATATTTTTAATGCTTGTTTTAAATAATCCAATGCTTCGGTATATTTGCCTTCTTTCTTCAAAAGAATTCCAAGATTATTCATCACATCAGCAACTAATGGATGGTTATGACCATGCACTGATTCAAGTTGTTTCAGCGCTTTTAAATAGAGTTCATAAGATTCATTATAATTGCCTTTTTTTCGGAAAATATCTAAATTTCAATTAAAAATTATTTTTGAATTGGCGAAAATATAGATTCTGATATTACCAGCTAGATTAGCAACAATTTCTGACCAAAGATTCGAACTTGTATCGACTATTTCAAGCGCTTGATTATAACTCGAAATAGCTTGATCATACTATAAAGACAAAAATCGTTATAAGAGATCGAATAGTGAGTCTGAACGTACATGAGAACATTTCTTAGCAAGAAGTCCAATACTATTGAGAATTTCGGCTTTTTTCTGTGATTGATCATTGTGTGGAAGAAGTTTAAATGCTCGCGTAAACTTTTCCTGTGCTTCAGTATATTTTGCCTGTTTAAGATAAATATGTCCAGAAGCCAAAAGTAATTCGATACGTTGAGGATTTGTTTTCGCTTTCAAATNTTAAGATAAATATGCCCAGAAGCCAAACGTAATTCGATACGTTGAGGATTTGTTTTCGCTTTCAAATAAACATCTGTATAAAGTTCCAATGCTTTATCATATTGTCCATCATCTTGTTCAATCTGTGCACTTAAAATCGTGATATTAAACACGTTTTGCATACCTTTAATCATTTTTAAACATTGTCGTGCTTCATCATAGCCGTGTTCTTCATGAAATACTTTGGCTAAATCGTACAATTCATTATCCTTGTCTCTTGTACGTGCTTTTGCATTACTATACTGTTGTAATTGAAGTCGTAATTCAAATAATTTCTGTTCTCGTTGATACTTTAATTTTTCCGGTGTATAGGAACATGTTTGTTTGTGGTGAATCAAATCACTTCGAGGTATTTTAGCTGAACAACCTTGCAATTTATTAGGACAATTGAATTGAATATTTTCAATGAATTGTTGAATGGCAATGTTAGTTATGAGCGTTTGTTCGGTCAATGTCGTTGAACGACATCGCGGACAATTTGGAGCAAATGTTCTCAGCCATGATTGAATGCAAGTAAGACAAAATAGTTGATGACAACAAGGAGTTTCTCGAACATCAGTTAGATAGTCACAACATATGCCACATTCAATCAAAACTTGAAATTCACTTTGTGTTGCAATCATTTTTGTTTTCAAAATCAATAAAATGAATTTTTACTCGACGACAACATTCGAATTTTATATGCTCTAAAAGCAAAACAACAATATATGTCGATGTATGTGAATAAGATGGTGAACAAGTATTGTATAATTCGTTTTATATCTTGCAAACTAAGTACACATTTGAAAGAAAAGAAATCAACGCCACGTGTGTGTTGTGCAATTTTTTATTTGCATTGACGACATACATGTGATTGTATTTGGATAGGAGCAATATTATCAAAGTATTACGAAATTGGGTATATTTTGTTGTAGAAAAATATGCATGTTGATTCTTATCTTATCAGTTTATTTTGCATATAATGGAATGTGTGAATATTCATTACTAGAAAGGTTATATTGTGAAATTTTCTCTTTAAGGAAAAACAAGGTAGAAAGTAATTCTTCATATCTATCGTGATATATGTTATTGAGTTCAATGTGACTGTTTTTTTTATTAAACAAACGTAGTTTAATACCAACAAGTGAGAGGTGTGAAATCTTCGAGCAACGATCGTTTGCGCTAGATGTACGAAAAAATAAAATGGTACGAAACGTAATTTTCCTTGATGGAACACGTGAAAAAAGTAATCTAATATAAAAATCAAGATGAATCTTTTGAGATCGATTGATATTCATCTATCGATATTGTGTTATTGGTTTAAACTGGATACTTAGAGGGATATTAATGTTCATGAAAACGACAAATCACGCAATCACACTGCTCGAGTCGATTGATAGACAAAACAAATCACTCGGAGTACCGATGGTTTCGTAGATCAGAATGATATATTATGAGAATTAACCCAGCTACTGAGTAAAAACATCCGTCGAAATTTTGAGAAATCAAAGTTTTATTCTATTATGAGGTGCAAAATCCACAATAACGTCCCGTGCCTGGAAAAAAATAGGAATACATAAATTTCAACGATAACAATCAAACTTATCTTCAGTCGTGTTGTCAGATATTTGTTCTTCATCATTATAGCATGAAAGATTTATTACACATGAAAATTCGTCGAAAATCACTGCATTTCTTCAGGTTTTCATCGATACTTCCATGACAGTTTCACCACAAGGATCGTTCGACAAACACAACAACTATAAGATAATGACTCGCATACCATTGATTTATGGATACCCAATTCAATCGAAGACGTGTAACAAACAAATATATAATTTACGATGCGCTGATTTCGCCTAGATATCAACATATATAAGTACGTTTGATCACAAACTTTTTTAGACTAAGTGTAATATGATACGATTTCTCTGTTTCTTTGTGCTGTTTACTGTCGTATCAGCAGGAGGGATCCTCAGTACGTTAATGCATGGTGATATTGAGCATTTCAATGGTACCATTTCTCTGCCGAATGCCATCGAAGAAAACGAAGAATCATCATTGCCTGATTATTCTCACCAACGTAGTTTTGCCGGTGTTACAATCAATACGAATATTTTCACTTTGTTTTATTATAAGAACAGTCAAATATATGTGTACAACACATTGGCCAATGAAAATAAATATCCCAACGATCCGTCTCGATGGATATTCTACTATATTCCAATAATGGCTCCAGTTCGAACTTCATCGGACGCAACCTGGGCATGGTCAATAGAAAACGAAGTTCGTGTCAATCTTATGTTGGGTGACCGAGAAGTAGAAGAGACGGCACGTGAAGCCATTGCCAAAAAGTTCGACATGAAAATAGCCGAATATGCTAAATATTGGGATATCGCACCGTTGATGATAGAATCTTTGACTGCTTTCGTTGTAAAAGGCAGTAGTTCACCGATAGCAGGTGTACAACCTTATCATGCCGTTCATCCGAATTCACTAAATATGATTTTTCGATTTCCCTGTTCAACAAGTACGAATGCACGCGATGTTGCAAGATTGATTGCCAATGGAGAATATGATATTGAAATCGCGTTCCATTTTGATGGCTTCAAACAAACGTCAACGTCACTGGTATCAATCACCGCTGAACAATTGAAAAGTATCACCAGTAAGACAACAGCTGATGGTGGTAATGCAGATGCAAAATATATTCATCGTAGTCAAACTTCCAAGTTTGTTGGAACCTATATCACAAACGTGAAAAAGTTGATATACTCGGAAAGTTCAAGCGTCGACACACAATCATTATCGAAAGGATTGGAAGATCAATTTATATCATTGTTACAACAAGGTAAAGCAATTAAGAAACACAAACCATACTCATTTTGTTCTTTTAGGAATGGAAAGTGCGCAACAAAACATTGTTAAAGCTGGTCATTTCAACGAAGTATGGTCATCAGAAGATTTACGTCCGGATCGAATCACGTCAGAGCTCAGTAAATTGTTTACGAAGAATGCTTCAGATACAGCACATCATACATCATCTGATAAATATCTAAGTGTCGACAAACAACATTTAGAAGAACTAATCGCAAGCAGTTCGAAAGAAGGCGGAGCCGGCGTGTCGTTTCTCGGTATATCGCTTGGTGGTAAAGGTGGTTCATCCTCCTCATCAAAAAACACATTTTACGATAAGTTGTCACAGATCAATCATGACAAATACTCGCAGGATGACGTCATCAATTTGCTCAGTGAACACCAGGCCGAATTTGCTTGGGAAGGTGAAAAATTCGTGCCGAAGTCATTCCAAGTTTACAAAACGAGCGATTTGACAGATAGTTTACAAATCGCTCTTGTCGCCGAACAAATCACCATTGACAAAAAACAAGGTGCTATCATACGACATGTCAGCACAATGAATACACCACAGTGGGTATCAGACGATAAAGGAGCTCTCAGTCCATTCTTAGTAGGTGAGGTAAAACTTTATACTGGTGTTGACACACCATCGCCATCTTGGCTCCGATGTGACGGCTCTGCTGTTTCCCGTATCCAGTATAAGCGTCTTTTTGCAGTAATAGGTGAACGGTATGGTCCGGGTGATGGTGGTGAGACGTTTAATTTGCCGGATTTTCGTGGACGAATTCCTGTCGGCGTTGATTCTAACCGAACGCACATAGAGTTAGCAAATGAAATAGGAATATCCGGTGGTAACACAACTTATCAGCTTACACCCTCTCACATACCAGCGCACACTCACGACCAGGGATCGTTGTATGTAACAAAAAATGGTACTCATAGCCATGATATAACGGATCCCGGACACAATCATGGTGGAAGAACAGGATCCTCAAAAATGACTAATGGTGGTTGGGGTTTGACTCCAAAGGGTTATGGTAGTGATCAAGGAAATCATGATCACACAATCAACACAGATTATACAAGAATTACAATATTATCTGCAGATGACCATTCACATGAAATTTACGGTGAAACGGGATCATTCGGCAATGCTGAACCATTCACCGTCATGCCACCATATCAAACAATTAATTACATTATTTACGCTAACTAATGTTTCATGAGATATGATGACTAAAATTCTTCTCAATCTGTTCTAACCTCTAGAAATGAATTTTCAATAAAGCTATCATTTAGTACTGAATTAATCTCTTCATATAGTTCAACAAGTAGATATTCATAAAACATCATAAAATACAGATCACATCGAAAGATTATACGCCGTACACTCAATTCACATATACAATTGAGACATAATATCATCGATATTTAATTTTTCCAGTAATTTTCGATTTTTTGGTAACTTGATTGCATTGAAGAAATCTTCTCCATTGAAGTTTTTTCTTCGAAGATCTGATTTCATTTGAATTAATAATTCTACCAATTGATGTCGACAGCCACGAACTTTCAAACAAATATGCAGTAATGGATCATTGCCATCCTCATCCAATTCATCAATAAGAAACCGTGATACTCTCAATACCTTTTTCAATAATTTTCGTTCTTTCTTCTGTAATAATATAAATACGAGCTGCTTACTCGTCAACCACGTTTCCACAGGTGTTTCATCAAGAAATCTCCGAAACACCAATCGTTCTTCCTGACTGCCTGTCATCATATTGACAATAGTTCGACAATATTTCGGCTGATTAAAGAAGCATCGTACATGTGGAATACGACGATATATATAAAGAATGACATCGTCACGTTTCTTTTTCATTAACTTTTTCAAAATCGATTGAAATCTATCATTCAAGTCGTCAGACCACGAAGGTACTTGTGCTGAAATATATATATCAACGATAATTTTGAATATTTCCAGTTGAATTGTTTCAATCATTACTCCACTTCTATTGACTAGTTCACGTGAAGGTATAAAATGTAACATATCGAAAAGATTTTCTTGAGCGGATGCTGAAACACTGGAATGTATTCTTTCGTACTCAATCACAAAAAGAAGTAAATCCACTATTGCATGATAACAATGCATATTAACAGGGAGAGTCAATTGATCATAGCAATAATATCGCGCTTGAAAAACAGAAAAGATGAGAAAGAAAGAAATGCTACATAAACTGTAGATATAAAAGTCCTCATTGGTTAAGACCCGTGGATTGGAAATAATCAAGGCTTTAAACATTTGTATTTCTGTACTAAGCAAGTTTTTATTAGTAGAATTTGGATAACAAAGCTCCGAAAGTAATAATCGATTAATTGCCTTGCAAAAATTGAAATCACTCTGTGCAGAACCATCACATTCAAGATATGCACCTCTTTCTAAAACTAACGATTCGATTCGTTTCATATCCATCAAATTGACAGGATAGTGTATCAAGTTGCGAAATATTTGCTGTAATTCATAACTATTCGTGATTCGCTCGTCATTAGGAATGGAATTTTGTATTGATTTGAACGTTGTTGTATAGACATGAATGTCATCTTCACATCGTTTGTGTTGTTGTTCGATATGGAAGGAGATTAAAGATTGAAAGTATTCACGAAAGTCCGGATCATTGACGGAACTGTTTACTGCGGCGAACTGTTGAGAAATTCGGTTGAACGCTGCGGAATTGTAATAAATATTGAAGAACATATGATATGGATCGATGCATAAATAATCGGTTAATAGATGTAAGCGTTTGTCGATTAGGATTTGGTTCAGTCGGCGATTCAAGCCAAGAAATGTGCGAAATATTGAGTGAACATCTCCAGAATATTGAAAAATGAGCATTAAAATTTCATCAGGTAAGGTTTCAAAAGTCGGTGACATGATGTTTTAGCATTGTCAACAAAATTTGTTTTCTTTTGTCCGCGCACGTGTCGTTTCGTTGTTTCGGTAATTTCACAACATTTATTAAAAATTGCAATTCATGTTGATACTTGTCCCGTGTTACTAGACATCTTCGTATTCTTTCTCTCTGTTGCGATACAGCTATTCAAATAGAAGGATGACATACCTATGGTGTAATACCTAAAATGGGTATAAAATATCAGCATTTCGCATGTTTTTTTCACTGCATCTTCAAAAAAAGAAAACACGCTTTCGAGCGTTTATTCTCCGGAGATTGCTTTTCGCTTACTTCGATTATGCAACACGGAGTACATAGCTTCTCGATAGCGGTGTCACCATACGACTCGATTGTCTTTTAAGACGTATCTTGGATCGTTGGCTGGACACCGCATCTTTATATCATTTTTCTTTCTCTCTCTCTTTCTCTTCCGGACTGACAGGCTCATTTCAGTTCCTTTCGAGTTTCCAAATATAGCGGCTACACAATCGTCTCTTCCAGAGACGCTCAACACATTTCGATGTGTTGTTTGTAGTGGAAACGAGATTGCTGACATTGAAGTGATTACCGGCCGGTCCACTGGGGTGATTTGTGCATGATCTAGTGATACATCATTAATTTAGACATGACACTCATTTCACTTCATCGGATCCGGTTCGGCATAACGACGACTATTCCCTTAGACTCAGTATAACAAAATACCGCACGAAAAAAGGATTGACATGATGATAATAATCACTTCGGGATTTTCTCCTCGTCACGAGTAATAAATGTAAACATTCGCTTGTTTTTGTCATTCAACCATAAAAAATCATTGACGTATGTGCACTAACAGGCTGAGCCTACGTCATTGTATTTACCTACAAATGATTCGCATGAGGAACTGTATAGTTGGAAATTAATATGATGCAAGGGAAAAAAATGATTATTTCTTTTCACGAAATGACACTTGAAATTCGCCCTAAGCATGAATTAATATTTCAAGGTAAAAAATATACGCGAGTCTAAATTTAAATAATCTTCTTTAACAAAGGACCTTTCAATATTGATTCGTCAGTAATATTAAATCTAGCAAACCGTGGTGATGCTTATCTGGCTTTTCAGTTCAAAACCAACGCATCTCCTAACTTGCGATCAACAGTCAAACGAGGATTTCTAGAGCCTTATGCCGAAGAAAATGTCAAAAGTACGCTCATTGATGCAATAACTATTGTTGACAGTCGGATTCCTTTCCTTCACTAGTCATTCTCTTACCCGAAGAAGCTGATCATCCATACAATGAAAGTTCACAATATCAAATGACTGTTCACTGGACGATTATATCCGACATATCCATGAATGACATCGATAATTTTGTAAGGTCGCCTTTTTCTTATGACGCAAAATATGGCAATACGTTATCTTTTTGTAGTGGAAGAGTAATGCGTCCAACAATCAAGATATACACCATATACATTTGAAATGTGTTTTTACAAACGAAAATTCAGTCGAAGTACGTACGTATATGTATATGAGAATACAATCCAATGCGTTCTGTATAGAGTTTTGCGCTCAGAAATAATACAAAACAAATTTCTCAAGGAACACAGACGTCACCGATGATTCCTAAACGTTCCGCAAGATTCTTTTCCGGATGGACACATAATTTCATACACATTCATCCTCATCGTTCTCAAAGACTAAACAGCGCTGAAAACCCTACTTCAATTGAATCGCCATCAATACAAGTAAGAATTCGAAAAGCGCTCTCGGTTCTACGCGTAAATACGCGATAATTTCAGAAGAAAAATCGCTTCCTCTCACGATTCAAAAAGACGAAACCTATATCAGTCACAATTGGTCACGGAACCATAAGTGTTGAGCAAGGCGATATAACCAAACAGAAGGTATATCATATCAATAACTTTTATGAACAACATCGAAAACGTTCTCCTTCTTTCTTGTCAGATTGATGTGATCATTGGAACTTTGATAGGCAATACCATAGATCGAAAAATCTTAAAAGAAGCTGGCAACGAAGCAAACGATACTTTTGCCAATGAATACGAACGTAATCCGCATTCGCTGATTATTTCAACTCCTCCAGGTCACTTGAATTGTCACCGTATATTCTTCATCAAATGGGACCCTTATGCCAACGGAATACAACTTTATCAAGCGATCGCTGATTTCGTATGGAATATTGTCCAAAATGTCATCGCACACGATTTCCAATCTGTTGCAATTCCAATCGGTGGAGATCAAGAATCGACTGATACGCTGAAAATTATCATCGAAGCGATGATCAAATCCATTCAGAAACAAATCATCATAAGGAAATTATCGATATTCGTTAAAATTATTGTAGAACCTGATGAACAATTTATCTACAACGCACTTTGTGAAAAGATTTTGATGTTGTCCAACGGTAATAACGACCAACTTTATTCTGAAAGATTTTATTTTCTCTACCTGTTTTAGATGACTTATCAGAAGCAGCTTTACAGTCAGTTGCAACATCGGAGCTAATAGAAAATGATCAACTATCTTATGTAATTTCTGAACATACCGATGAATATCAAGCAGTTCTGACTCAATTCGATGAACAAATGAGATACCTTTATACTCAGATGATTCAGATTGAACGTATTGAAAACAAACGTTGGTACTTGCAATATTTAGCACATAAAGACGAATTTAAAAGACGCTTGGGCGAAGATACCGAACGGATTCTCTATCATGGATGCGACGAACAAGCTGCTAATAACATCGTAACAAAAGGCTTCAGTCGAAATTTTGCCGGTCAGCATGGTGCCAGATGGGGATACGGTGTTTATTTCTCATCGAGAGCAAATTATAGTGCCGCCTTTGCGCTTCCGAATAATCGCGGAGAAAAACGAATGTTTCTAGCAAATATTTTGATTGGAAAAAGAGCACTTGGCGACCCATCTATGAGGGTACCACCTGTCGGCTTTGACTCAACTACAGATGGAAGCCACATATTTGTTATCTATCATGATGCGCAAGCATATGCTACTTATTTGATAGTATATAAATAACGCTTTTCATTAAATCGCGATTAGTTACTCGAAGAAATAAAAAAAAAGTTAGGAAAACAGTTTTGATCAGTCTATTTATAATCAGATCTTCTTTTTGGAAACAATCTAACTGAAAAGAATTGTAGGATTGTAGCCAGTGATATGCGGGTTCGTCTCTGACGGATTCGGTTGTGTAGTACTTTGCCGATCGGCGAATTTGATAGGGTTTGAAGCGCATGACTTTTTACCACATGAGGAACCTATTATGATGCATGTTACACTGAGAATCATCATTACGAAAAGGAGACCAAAGATTCCAAAGAAGATGCATAGACGTATCAACGGCGTTTTCCAGTCAGGACGATCCCACTTGACAGTTGCTACATTTTCCTGTTGATAAAAACACGGATAGTGACTACCAATCTGAAAAACCAAGTAATTGTAAAAGTCAAATATGACATTCAGAACATCTTACGGAAACTTGTGAATGTTGTTGTTCATTGTCATCTGAAGAGAACGTGTTATTCAAGATAGTTCCATTGGAAATTGAATAAGTCACAAGAAATTGTTCATTGAAGCATGTATATTCTGACGGATACTCCTCCTTAGTTTGACACGTGTGAGTAAAAAAAGAATAATGTAATAAACGACAGCTAGTATTCGTATACGCCGGACGATTTCTCACATAGTCAGCAGCCGATATGGATCCCAGCACAATACCAGGTATGAAATAAAGGAAGCAGATTATTCCTGTGATAGAGCACATATGAGTGCCTATTGCTCGACATGCCACAAAAAATAATGTGCTGTGCATGCCTATGTTTCGATGTACATCAATCGTTTGGCATATAAATATGATACTTCCTATCGATCACCACCAATAATTTCGTCGAAATCGGCAAGTCACATGTCATTACCCAAGCGTATCAATGAGACATAAAAGGAAGGAACACAACTGATTCATGTATTTATTTCCAACCGACATAATAAAGAAAAATAACTTCATACATAGAATAAACGATAAGTGATCAGTAAGATTAGAAGAATAACACTTGCGACGTTCATCGTTATTCCAAATGATCGGTAATCTGAATATTCAAGAGCGAAAGTGAGTCGACCAACAATGAACAAAATTCTGTAAACAGTTAAAATAATCAATTCATTCGGTTCAAGTACCGTACATAGAGCCAATGAAAAAATCCGTTTAATAAGTGACTGTTCAAGTGTATTTTGTAAAATACGATGTCATTATTCGCCTAGAACCTGCCCCTTTGGATCTAGTGAATTGATCGCAATTCATGAAACGTATCAGTTGATTACTGCGAGAATGACGATAAGTAATGGAAGTGTATTGTTGAATAAGAATCAAACAGTCATATCAAAACGAGTTTCTACTGACACATCGCCTGAACTACTCTTGATTCTTATTTTCTATGGTAGTCAATCGAGAAAAGCGAATATTAATATCAGAATTGTCACAATCATCGAAATGATTCGTCATGGGTCATATTTTTGTCATAGATGCGAAGTTCTTCTTTTACTTTACCATTAGTTTCGTGTGTCATTGCAGTTAGAAGAATGTACAACGTAAAAATAATTCAGATTTTGTATTTATATACATCTTTGATCGAGCTAAGCACACATGAGAACGCTGCAAGTCGGTAATGTATGTCCTTTTTCTGTTATGAGAATGACACATTGTGTGAAAAGGTCAATGGAAGATTAAAATACGATTTTTATCTAGGAAAAAATTGCTTCACGCATTGTTTGAGAACGAAATATTTTCGTTTTCTTCTTCCGTAGATCAGCTGCGCCATCTATCATGCGAAAGTCGTTCGTATGATCAACAGAAAACTATCGTCCTATGTTGCGCTTGCTGAGAAACCTCGTCTCATACGTGCAATAGTATATGCATTCGTTTTTTTTTCATATTCAATGTACATAATCCCATTGGCAGTGGTATCCAGCAATGATTGTTTGTCTATTCTTTGGTTATGTATCTTGATTTTGGATAAATCACAAGTTTCGATGTACATTTTCGAACTTTTGTATTTCAGATCTGATTGAAAACGAGTTGTACGGTCTTGATTCAGCGAACTTCTCTCTAAACTTTCATTTAAATCGTTATTTTCGTCGTTATCACCATGAGCAACCTTCCAGATAAGACACGTTCGATTCTACCGCGTTCATCTTCTATTACTTCAAAACACGTATTGAAAAGTTGCAGTGCTCTGATCGTCAGTGCTAGTGTTGCCGGACCTGTGCTAGTAAGGGATGGTTACAAATTGCTTCTGGTACTGATACCTTTGATGGAAAAGGTTATGTGTCTAACACTGGAATTCTTCGTGGTGAATTGACGAAGGTGCTGTATGAATACACTCGTAAAGACGTTGAGTACATCTTTGGTGACTATTCTTTGTCAATCAATGACCAGGAAAATCAAGTTCAGGTGACACTTGCCAGTGATAATAGCCGTGAGTTCGACTTAATGATCAGTGCCGATGGTTTTCGATAACCAATTACCGATTAGCTATTTGAATCTGTACGCTGCATACTTTACTATATCCTCGTCGTCAATCAGATAATAATTGGTCATATTAGTACAATCCACCCAGAGGACGAACAATAACACTTCGTCCTGATAATTAAGATGCGATGCGAGCAACATTGTCATTTCGTAGTTCAGAGCGCGGCTACAAAAATCACGATGTCGATAAGCACAAGGAACTGTTAAGACAGGGAATTCGCAAACGCAGATTTCGAAACACCGCGACTATTACATGGTTTGATAGATAAAAATGAATACTATTTTGAAGTTATCGGACAAGTTACGATGGAATGTTGGTCGCAAGGACGAGTTGCTTTAGTAAATGATGCGGGTTATTGTCCTACTCGTGTCACTGGTATGGAAACAACTCTAGCTCTTGTTGGTTCTTATATTTTGGCTGGTGAAATCGGACGATGTCAGGATCATGTAGAAGCATTTAAACAATATGAAATGCTGATGCGTCCAATCGTTACTAAAGCTCGAAAAATATGATCAATAGCTTGATATATTGCTGCACCAGATATACTTGTTGCTATCACTCTCAGAAACGCTATATTGAATTTAATGGCCAAGGCTGTCGTTACTCGACCAGTCAGCAAGCTTTTGGAACAAAAAGCGGCCGATACAACGATCCTACCAGGTTATGATTTTTTATTGTCTCAAAAAGATTAGTGGATTTTTTTTGTGACTCTCATCGTTGATAATTTTACCATGATATACTAGCTATTATTTACACACACACTCGGCACGAAAGTAAAAATCTATTTTTTATTAATCAATAAAGAGTCAGATATATTAAGAGGTTTAGGATAAGAGTTAAGAGAATACATGAAATTATTTGTCAGTTACATCAACTGATGGCGGTGCTTGTAAAGGTTTAATGAGAACATGAGCTAATAATCCGAATGGAATACCCATTAATGCTCCTTTAACAGCTGAAAATGGACTCATTTTTGTTGGTAAGCCAATTATAAGGCCAGCTAATCCACCAACCATAGAAGTCGAGAATGTGAATTTATCAACTCGGTTTTGGTTTTGAGAATGACGAAGACGATAGGCTCGATCCCATATTTTATATTCATTGTATTGTTCTTTACTTAATTTTGCATGCATCAAGCCAACACTCAATGCCACGCCGACTGCAGCACCATAGATTGACGCTGTTCCAGCACGACTAAGAACTGGTCCAAATGAAGGATTCTTTCTTGATTTATATAATTGATACGGCAGTGCCGTCAAAAATGTTGCTGTCGATCCTAACTGAATGCCCTTATAAATACAATGTAAGGTCAATTCGCGTAATGAATGTGGAATTAATGCTCGTTGTTCATCATCCAAATCGGTCATTTTTGTATTTTACAAAATAAAAAAACACAATGAAAAAAGAACTTATGCATCAACAATGTAACCTAACGCGTTAGTGAGAGAACGAATCATATATTTAACGCATCGAGTGTCAATATAGCCATATAAACATAGTATGACATCTATTTGGAAAAATTATAAGAGCTATGTTTTCACTACAATCTTGTCGCCGATTGATATTTTTCGACGTGCGTCTGGTCCAACAACGATGCAGCCTTTTGACGCTGAATAATCGTTCTTTTTGTTATCTCCGTGAATTAAAAAATCGGATCTACCATACATAATGTTCGATGGAGATGGTGTTAATACTAACGTCATAGGACCCTTCGAGGTTCTTGAATCTGTTACTGTATACTCACCCTTAGGAATAGGACCAACACATCGCACCGATTCTTTATCGGGATTGTTCAATCCCTCGTCATTACCAGAATATCCGGAGTAGGAAGTTCCATCTGATGTGATAAATTTTCCTGTGGATTGATAGTAGGTAGCCATTATGTCTTGAAAAGCTAAACAAAAAAATTTGTTCTTTATGGAATAACTTTTCTGTGTGAAAAGGAAAAAGGCATCGCTCCTAAGTGGTTTTTTTCCTTCTGACGTAATCCTTTTAATAATACAAAGAATATGGGTGAAACCTCATTTAAAACAAACAATCAACACATTTCAACGTGAAAAAAATGAGTTATAAAAAAAACGTTCTATTAAGCAGTAGATGTGTTTTTATCAAAGTACAATATTTACATTCACCATGTAAGAGAATAAAAATACGTGCATATGGCGATATTTCAGACAGGTATGTAAATGCGTGTACAGGTTATCATAGGCTTTAAACATCGGCAGAGTAGAACTGATTGTCGTCTATCACATCCCGTTGTTTTGGAAGCATGGTATATAATGCAGAAAGGAATGAAAGCATAGTTATGAAGAGCTTTAAATTCGACAGATTCTGTCAATGAATACAAATCTAGCAAGTTATTTGAAGTATTCTTCTTTATGCCGCTGAATCAATTCTACATTATGCATTCTCCAATAAAAATATAATAATATTAAATCTGTTTCAAACAAGAAAATGTTTTTGACACTATTCCGACAGTGCTGCTATGATTCTTTCTACTGCATGATTTCATGTAAGTGAACAGCAAGAACATAGGAACTAACTGAAAAGGATTGAGAGCAAAGTACATTCTTTAAACCTATAAACACAACTATAAAAATTTAACCACGAACCTTTTCGTTCTTCCGATCAGTCTTTATTGATGAGCACAAACAACAAGTAACACTTGTTAAAGTAGTAATTACATTCGAGCTGTATTATTTGGAATTGCAGTTGAGCGAGTAAGAGGAAGAATAAGTGGATGTATGCGAATCGGTTGAATCTTTTGGAAAACTATTCTTTTTAAATGAGGTGTTAACAAAAGTATTGATACATTCAATTGAACGAGAGATATGACACTTGTAAGCCAATTGATGCGGAAGAAAAGTGGCTGTTGTTCACCTGTAATATACTTTATTAACAAAAGAATAGTTGCAGGTATTCCAGCAAAGATTACGAGACCAGCTGTTAAAATAATCCGTTGTATGACGACGATGTCTCGTTGTTGTTGCCTTCGCATCGCTATTGGTTGCAGATTGCTTGATTCTCTCTGCACATATATTGTAATACGAAGATAGATTAAGGCTAATAATGAAGCAGCTATCCCATACATAACGAGAAAAGCCAATAATACACTTCGCGGACGATCGAGTGACATGTAACAATAAGATTCTTCAGTTAGGTAAACAACATCACGCCAGATAAGCATGGGACTTAGAAGAGATCCGATGACTAGTAGTTCCAGAAATGGTAAAAGGACATAGAAAAAAGATGAATGAAGCCATCGATGTGTGAAACGAACAATGCGACACAAACGAAAAAAAGCCTAGAAGAATCAATGAAAAAAAAAACAATCAAATTTTCAATCTCTAATCATTACTTGATTGACAAAACTCCAGAATATTAAGCTCACTGAGATGCACGAGAAATACGCGATGAAGATACACAATGGTGACGCGAAATTTTTGCCATAAAAATCACCGAAATAGGTTTGAATAGAAAATGAAAGCAGTATAATTGTATAGATCATTAGACACAAGTAAATTTCAATGGTAAGTAGAGTTGTTATTTTATGTTCTTTTTTTAAACGACGACCGCTCCAATGCCGAACAAGACATGAAAGAATGACAAGGGACATTAAACAGGACAAAGAACCTATGCCGATAGTACATAGATTCAATAGTGTTCCGATCGACAATGACATCCGACAGGTAGTCTTTGTTGATTAACGCGGTGGTGAGATGACAGGATCAAATGAACCTTGCAACTAGCTGTCAGAAGTAATTTAAAATGTTGTCAGAGGGCCGTTTCTGTTATAATACGAAGCGTTGCTACCAGGAAAGTAATGCAGATTCTCTCTTCTTTTTATTTAATATAGACATTTTTCCGACGTGATGATTTTCAGAGCGGATGCAATAATTAAACAAATATAGACCGAATAGCCAATGAAAACATCTATATGAAAAGTGTGATGTTCTCGTATCGTAGACTTCCCGAGTTCATGCGCCGCAACTCGTACAGACTGAACTTTTTCCGTATGAAACAATTACAAGTCGTTCTTCAGGAGGTTTCGGTAGATGTCTGCGACATGTGAACCGTTTTAATTCTATTATCCTTGGCTCTCGTCAGTTGATACTTGCTCAGAATTATTCGTAAAAGTACTTGAGTAAATTGAACATTGTTTTTTTTTCTTCAGAATTAGTCGTTATGTGCAGCACTCTATTTTTTCCTTCGCGCATACCGGCAACTACACTTGTGATGTGTTATTTCCTGTTTACTATCATCTGATGTTTATTTTTACTTTTCCTGATTTATCAAATTATATACAATGTACTGTCTCCTTTTAATTGAAAGTGATAATTAAAGCGTAAAGCACTTTCATAGCAATCTACCAGGAGCTTTCCTCCTGTTCCTCTTCTGTCTCTATTTTGATTAATTTGCGTCGTCATCATAATCATACGAATAGTAAATCAGAAAAGAATTATTTATGCACAAATCTCAAGCGTTAACTTTTGACATTTAATGATAGTCTTCACTTATTATGATACAACCGTGATGAGAACGGTAGATAAAAACAGGATTCAAAAGACTGCGGAAGTGTTGTGCCATGGATTCAATGGTTCAGAAGTTTTTGAATCAACACAAATCGATAGACAGATAAGCGACATTTACGAAGTTCACACATATACACAAAAAGCATGAGAAGAAGTCAAATGTTGTTGCTCAACATCTGCTGTGTGAATATAATTCAGGATCATTGTGAGTTATCGATTCTAGTGTACTATGTCTTCTTTCATAATTTCGGGAGAAACGCATGATGAACCTGACCAACTGTAGTATAAGCAATTTTAACACCGTTAATAGATCAACAATTAATCTCATAAGCGTTGTGGCAATATAGATAGTACTGTTTTTGGCTTGGTGACTAGAACTACATTTAGTCACTTGACATTCACTATAATCATTTTCATAAATGATTGTTGTATTTCATTGTTCGACCATGAGTTCAACAATAATATCTTCGATTGCCGAAGATACAGTGAATTCTACTAGCAAAGATCTATCAAGAGCATTAACTTTCATGGGCGAAGTTGCGTCACACTTATCATATGACTGGTTATAAAAACATTGAAAATCACTTTCCAACAACGATGTAACAACAAAATATTCACTATTCATACTCTCAACGTAGTAAAGGGCGTGTACACAGCTTTGAATAGAAAAAGTGAACTGGTGATGTTGAAAACGCATATATTGTGTATTTCGGAGGACCATTACTTTGTTGTCATAGAATATGTTAGAGCACTAATAGAGTTTATACAACTATGGATGACAAGACAAATATATCGAGAGAGAAATTTTTTAAAAAAAGCACTTCAGATGACGATTTTGACATATTAGCTTTTCGACTTCTGTTGAATAACAAGTATCATTCTTCCACTTAGAAGAATAGATGAGATATTATGTATAAGTGCGTGTTATTCAAATTTAATACATGAAAAATAAAGATATACTGCTCCTTTGTCGTTGTTTGTTATACCAATGCATACATATAGAAAAAATAAATCATAAGTTGATTCACGAGATGTATTCTTATAGGATTTGACCGGTTCTCTTTTCTGTCGTCCTTCTACTTTCAATTCAACACTGATGATTACATGTTCATATACTTTTGTCTTTTTCTATTAACTCGATTATTTCATTGTTGTTTGATTCTTTGGTGTTTTAGAACTGCGATACTAGTTAAACGCAACTGTGTACATTGAATTGAATGTCGCCCTTGCTTCTCTACATTGTTGTAAATTGCTTTTTTTATATATTTTTTTGTTTCTCGGATGAATAGCTTAAACATTTAAAAGAAATTGATTTCTATAAAAATAAAAATAGCAAGATGGGCGTAAATGTGAGTGACATACAAATGTGTTCCTCGCATTGACACTTGAGCGAGAAAGAAAGAAATTTAATAGCGCAAAAACTTTTGTATTGAATAATTGTTCGGATCAGCAATAGATAGATTAAATTATGCATTCAATTCTACAGGCCATGGCTGATTGAGTAAGGTGAAACTTACGTAGGATATCTTCTAATAAGATTCGAGTTTTTCCAACTACGATTCGCACTGAAGAAGTTTCCAACTAAGATAACATACTTTCCAAGTAGATCTCGACGAGCTCTATCGATTCCACAGATCGTTTTTTTCGGGCATCTCTCAAGGACCCCAAAAAATCCAAAAAATACTAAAAAAACGCAGTAAAAACTGCCCAAATTGCCGAAATCCGGCTACGATTCGCACTGAAGAAGTTTCCAAGTAAGACAACATGGTTTCCAAGTAGATCTCGACGAGCTCTATCTATTGCACACATTATTTTTCCCAAACCTTCCCTCCAGACCCCTTAAAATCCCAAAATACTACAAAAAAATGACAAAAATCGCCGGAATTCCGGCTACGATTCGCACTAAAGAAGTTTCCAATTCGGAAAACATGGTTT